TAAGCTTCCTGATGAGGTGGCCCTGCCTCTGTCATCCCTGTGCTGATCCGTGGCAGGAAGTTCCTGCCCCAGGCCCTGGGAGAGAAGAGAGGCTCCACCCAGCCCGGATGCTGCCTCAGGTCCTTGTGGTCAGGCTGCGCTGCTGGACCTTGTGGTCAGGCCGCTGAGACCTCCAGAGAGCACCCTGGGATTCTCCAGAGAGACAGAACCAAGGGAGGTAAATCCACGGATGGAAACAGACACCGCGTACTCGGGAACACCCACAGTACAGGCCAGGCCCACGGGCAGCTCCCGTAATGCCCTGGGAGTCCACCTTCGGGAGGAGATGCTTGTGTTCCGAGTCACTTAGGGCTTAGATCAGACTCAACCCTGAATCGTGTGATCARRGCTGTCTTTTTTGTTTTGTTTTGTTTTCCTTCTTTATCTCTTGGTGCTGGGGATTGAATCCAAGGGCACTTTACCACTGAGCTACATCCCCAGCCCTTTTAATTTTTTTTTTTTTTAATTTTGAAGCAAATTCTTGCTAAATTGCTAAACTGGCCTTAAACTTGTGGCCCTCCTGCCTCAGTCTCCGAGTAGCTGGGATTACCGGCGTGCGCCACCCTGGTCTTTTTTTTTTTTTTTAAATAAGAATTCTGAACATGTCAGGAAATTATAGGTAACAAACTCCCCACCATCCACCAGTTCCCCCGGCCACCTCCTGAGCTGTGGGGTCTGGCCTCTTCTCTTGAGGGGACTGGGCCAGAAGGTTCTGAGACCCCTCAGGCTAATGGTGTGGCCACGTTTATCTGCTCACTGCCAACCCCTGCTCCCTAGTGCCTTGGCGCCTGCAGGGCCTTTCCCACACGGCCCAGGGTGGCCTGGGGTTTACTAAGGCTTCCAGCAAAGAGCACGTTCTTTTCTTCTGAGCCTCAGCTCAGGCAGTCAGTGGTTCGAGTCTAGTAGGTAACTGAGTACTAACCAGATTACTCATTCTCTCAGGGGCCGTATCTACCTGCCTGTCCGTCTGTCTTTCTGTTCTGCGTGCTTACTGCTTCACTGTGAGCCAGCCCTTCTGAAAGCCTGTTTTTGTGTCTTAATTCATTTAAACAGCACTACAACCCTGTGTCGATTACCATTCTCCCTTTACGTTGAAGAAACTGAGGCAAAGATAAATGAACAACTCGCCTGAGGCTGCACAGTCGGGAGGTGGCAGAGTCTGATTTTGAACCCCAGGACATCTGGCTCCAGAGCCTGCATGTCACCCCCATGCTGTCCAGCCCCTCTCCGTGAGCCCTGGGAAGAAGGTGCAGGGGGCCTCTCTCCCTGGGCCTGGGGTCACACCCTCACTTGTGGACATGGGCCTTGTGCCCTGGACATCTGCGAAGCCAGTAGATGAGATCGAGCAGAGCACAGCAGGTTCTGGGGAGGGAGGAGAGAGGGCTAGGGTGTGGGGACATAAGCAGGCTGATATTCCCAAATATGGAAATGAAAATAAGCCTGGTCATTTGGGGACACTGGCTACTGCGTGGTCTGTATCACTGAACACCAGCAAGCAGAGCTCTATCCTGTCTTCAAAAATGCCCTGTGAGCCGGGCACGGTGGCGCTCACCTGGAATCCCAGAGGCTCAAGAGGCTGAGGCAGGAGGATCACGAGTTCAAAGCCAGCCTCAGCAACTTGGCAAGGCCCTCAGAAACTCAGTGAGACCCTGTCTCTAAATGAAGTATAAAAAAGGCTGGGGATGGGGCTCAGTGGTTGAGTACCCCTGGGTTCAGTTCCCAGGACCGCCGCCCGGGCCCGGCCAACCTGGCTCCCTAAATGGCCTGTTTCAGGCTTCGATGGCAGACAGGTTGTGGACTGGGGATTGGAGGTGTCGTGGGCAGCCGAACCACACAGATGGTGGCCACATGTTCCTAGAACATGAAAGCTTCAAGAAACACCAACCAGCCGGGAAATCAGGATTTGTTCTCATGGAGAGCCCATTTCAGGGGGAAGTGGTTTCTGAGAGCCTCCGCAGAGCAGCTGCCCCTGCCTGGAATGTGCTCTCCTCACCCCCGTCCACCTGGATCATCTGCCTGGAGCCCAGATGCTTCCTGCAGCAACGGTGTCCAGTGGGAACTGAACAACATTATTTTTAGAGAAAGCAATAACAATTTTTTCTTTTTGTATAAATAAAAAAGAACAAATCAATTTAAGGAAGAATGATGGTATATGTGAGGCAGAAATTTTAGTACTGAAATTCATCGATGTGTTCCTTTGTGTGCTCATCAAATATTTATGGAGAGCCCTCTGTGGACTGGGCGGGGGTTGTGTTTTTCTACAACTGGGGCAAAGCCTGGTGTGTGTGTGTGCAGCCCGAGTTCCCAGGAGGAGGTGGACCGTGTCCAAGCAGGTCAATAGGAGGGGAAGCAGTGGACACTGCTGAGGTCAGTTCTTCAGGGGAAGGGGACGGCAACCAGGGGGAGGGGATTTAGCAGGGAGACATTTAAGTAAAGACACAGATGATGCGACTTGTCTTCAATCAGTAAAGACACAACAGATAGCATTTTAAAAGAGGGAACCTCGAGTTCAAGGCTCTGAAGCAGCAGCCTGCACGGAGTGCTCAAGGAAGTGCTGTTGGCAAAGGCACACCTGGAAACATCAGACTAGATGTGCAGGGTCACCTCGACCCCTGGGACCTTCTGATGGTGGCCTGGATGGGGTGCTTTCTGATTGGGGTGGGGTTATCTCAGAACCTGACTGCTGAAGGCAACCTGGGTGATCCGATGGAACTTGAGCTCAGGATGTCCCCAAGGATGGGACGGCAGGAGGCACTCCAGGCCTCCCCAGCCTTATGTTTGCCTCCTGAGGGGAGAAGAGTCACAACTCATCAAACATTTGCTGAGTGACCTCAAGGTACCCTGCAGGAGGCTGGTTGTAGGGACAAGATGAATCAGATGCACTTCCTGCCTGTCCTCTGTATGTGTGTGTGTGKGGGGGCCCTGGGGAGGAGGCAGGGGTTCTGCTCACTGTGGGGAACCCTCGAAGTGACTCCGCAAGCCAGGCTTTAATCATGGAGCTCGGCGTGAGCACGAGCAAAGACGGGATTCTTGTTCTGGGAAAAGTGCCTTAAAAGTCCACAGAAAGCTTTTCCCTTTCTTCTGCTGTCTGTCCTTAGAATGTTAGGGTGTTTTCCATTTGCCATCTCCTGGCATTCAAAGCCAGGAAAAATAAAAACTTAGCGTGAGTTTTTGCCATTCGTCTTTGTGTTTTAGAATGCTGGCTTTAAGTGCAATTATCAGTGCATTTAACCAGCATGTAAAATCAAGAAATTATACGGCTTGTGCTGTGTGGCTCATTTCCAGGGGTGCCTTGAGTGGGCCAGAAGGAGCAACTCGAGGGGGATTGGGAGTCCCCGCTGCCTGAGGGCAAACCCCAGCAGTGCCGTCCTCAGCTGTTCACACCCAGTTGGGCCTCCGTTTCCTCATCTGAACAAGGGGACTGACACTGACCTCAGGAGGGCGGAAGGAGGGAGAGAGTTGGTGCAGACTCACAAGTGCCCAGCCCCCTTCCCCGCATGCACACTTGCGCTCAGGTCTGACGGTAGCTAGGTGTTTGCTCCTACCAGATGTTAGATTACTGTTCTTTTCCCTGGCCAGGGGTGGTTGGGGAAGTTGATCCAGGTGTCTCCCCTTCCTAAGTTCCCCCCACCCTAAGCCATAGCAGATGGGCAACTCCAAGGATCTTTAAACCTGGGAATCAGGACCTGCTAGGACCTGGTCAAGGGTGGGTGAGAGGCTCACTCCATCCAAGACTCATCCTCTAGCGGGTCACCCACCAAGCTTACCGAGGTGCTGCTGTCCCTGAACCCTGGACAGGAGGGGCTACCAGTTGTCACCATGCTCCACCCAGATATAGCACCAGACCTATAGGCCTGACTTGGACTTTCCCTGCTGGGAGTGGTGGGTTGCAAGAGTCACAGAGCAGGGAGGGGAAGGGGGAGCCCAGGTAGGTCCTGGGGCCCCAGGGAACAGGGGAGCAGCTGCCAAGGGCCTGTTGCAGGAAGGCAGGCCAGGTCTGAGCTCAGCACTGTGACCCTAGCACTCCTTACAAAATTACGAGGGCAAAATGATGAAGCCTTTCAAGATGGCGCACGGGACACCCCACCCCGAGGCTTCATCACCCCTGCCCTGTGACTCCTGCCCAGCAGCTCTACCAGGCAGAGATGAGCATCAGCCCCCTTATTCAGATGAGGAAACTGAGGCCGAGTGACGTTCTGCATGAACGGCTGTACGTGCGCAGTTGGTGTCTGCACCCAGGCAGTGGGGACTCTGGATCCCCCTCTTGTAGCCCTGCATTATCCTCCCTTTGTGTCACTGACCCTGGTTTTGCCCCTCACCCTGCTCGCTCGCTGCACAGGGTCTCTATGGCCTCCCCAGCCTCTATCTCAGACATTTCTGCTTYAGCCTCCACCGGGGTCCACCTCAGCACTGCCTGGGCCAGGTTCCCAGTGGAGGACTCCCGCTGGCCCAGCCCCTCTCCCGCAGGTTCCACTATGGGCTGCTGGCCAGCTTTCGCAGCAGTGGCTCTGGGGCAGGAATATGGCCAAGGCTCATTGCCTGTGACTGGGCAGGGAGCAAGGACACAGGACATGGAAACACTGGCTATCCTTGGTGGCCCCTGGAACAAAGAGGGTCTTGATGAGTGGGGTTGCTTAGGGGGGCTGCCCATCCTGACCCGCCCCATCCAGGCCTTGTCTGATGGGAAGCAGCGCATCCTGGCTCTTTGTCCAGGCCCAGGCTTCTGCTGAGAGCCTTCATTCTAAAGCCAGAAGCAGGTGGCTTCTGCTGGAATGATGGCAGGTTCTGGGCAGTGGTGGGAGCATCACTCTTTCCGCAGGGTCAGCAGATGTGGAGTGGGCCAATTAGTGGACTTCCTCTGGGGCCTGGGGCTTCCTTGCTGAGCCTAGGCCACCACTGGGCAGCAGTCCCGCGGTGTTGGGGCAGCTCCCTTCTCACCTCCTCTCCTTTCCCCCATGTAGAGCTCCACCTGGAGGGGAACTTCCTGCACCGCCTGCCCACTGAGGTGGGCAGCCTGCAGCACCTCAAGGTCATTGACCTGTCTCGGAATCAGTTTCAAGACTTCCCCGAGCAGCTCACCACCCTGCCCTCGCTGGAGACCATCAATCTGGAGGAGAATGAGATCGTGGGTGAGTGGGCGCCACCCTCTGACCTGGATTTGCCACGTTAGGCCCTGCAGGGCACAGGGCCCTGGAGTTGGGCTGTCACAGGCATGAGGGGAAGCGTGGGCTTACTGGTCCAAGACACCTGAGCAAAGAGTAGTGGACCTGGGAGGGTGACCAGTGTGTGGTCCTGCCACCTGCCAGGTGATGACTTGGGCATTGGCTTTCACTGGGAGGTAGATAGCCAGAGCTTCCTACAGTGTGTCCCTGAACCAGCTGGGCCCCTGTGGACCACAGGCAGTCCCTCTCTGATGTCTCCAAGACTCTTCAGTTGGTGCCCTCTGTACGCTTCCTCCCACTGCCTTCCCGCCTTCACAGTGAGCTCCTCCCTGCTGCAAAACAGGGACCACTGGACAGAACAGCCTCCCAGGGTTCACCACGGTCCTCTTTGAGCCCGGCCTCCCAGGGCCCTCACCATCGGGCACCCATGGTGTCTGATGTGTGCCTTCTGCTAACAGCAGCCGCAGGGGCTGGGTTCTGCTGAGCCAGGGGAGCGGCCCTCCCTCCTCCTGCAGCAATTATACACCTTGCCGCCTGCCTCGTCAGGACCTTGCAGAGCTGAGCGTCCTCTCGCCTAGCAGCCCAATCTCCCCAGAGAGAAGCGGGCGCCTGCTGGGTCGCAGGGTCTCCTCTCCTCCTCAGCCCCTCCTTCAGCTGCCCTGACCCCTTTCACCCTCCCATTTTGCCTCTAATTTTAATGCCGTTCTCTTGTCACTGGTGTTATTTCTAATCCCCTTCAGTTTGCTCCTGTTTTCCTAAGTCCTTTTACAGTCATTATGTCATTTGATTAAAAGCAAAGCCTTTCAAGTGGTCTGGGCTCTCTGGTGGGGAGTGGCCTGCGCCTCATGCCGGCGGTGAGTGCCCATCTGTCAGGGATGCTGCGGGCAGGGCCATAGGCCTTGCTGACCTGTGAGGTTCTGGGGCTGTTGCCTGACCTCTGGGAAGCCTCTGGGGAGGGACTTGTGGTTCAGTGTTGAGCTCCAAGGCCAGGGTCCCTGAGCAGCCTGCGCCTGGGCTAGCTCACCAGTCACTTGGGCCTCTGCGCAGCAGAAGGAGCATGCCCAGAAGTGCTCCCTCTTGGCCTCTAGGCTCTGGCTGCTGGGCCCTTTGGCTCCTGCACTCTGGCCAGGCCCTCCTTGCCGGGTCCTCCCTCCCATGCCTCTCTGTCATGAAGGCCCTTCCTGTGTCTCTGCCTCCTTCCATTGCTTGTCTCAGTAGGACAGAACCCAGCAAGGCCTTAGTAGCCATGCCAAGGCCAGAGCTGAGCATGTGGCTGGCAGACAGGAGGGTGGGACAGGACCCGGCCTGGGGCATCCCCACTTCCCGACTGTGGCCTTGGAAGACTCACGTCAGCTCTCTGTGCCTTGGTTTCTTCTCATTTTTCCTCTTGAAAGATAAGACCACCCCAAGAAGGACAGAGATGAGAAGGGGACTGTCCCTCAGCAGGGGAGCAGGTGGGGTGGGCATCTGTGCCGCCTGCAGTTCATGAAGTGACTTTCAYCAAAGTGTGCAGTGGGGTTGGGGGGCAGACCTCCTACTGCTTCCCTTCCCACAGGACAGAGCAACAGCCCCTCAGCAGAGAGAGGCTGCTTTGGCTCCCTGCCTTCTGCAGTGACAGTAATGACTACTCACAGAAGCGTCTTGTAGGTTACCCACGRCGCTTGTGCATACTTGGGCATCTACAGGGCGATCACCCCCATTTGACAGATGATTCACCAGCCTTCATGGCCAAGTGCCTGTGCACACCTGGTCAGGTAATCGAGCCTCCTGCAGCCCAGTCTGGGCCAGCTTTGGGGTCTATGGAAATGCCAGAACAGGGGCAGGGCTGGGGGAGCTGCCCCTGTCCAGCAGATGCTCAGCAGACCCCAGGGAGGCCACTCCATGGCAGGAGGCCATGATTGTTTTCCCTCGGCCCCCAGAGGGATATGGAGGCAGGCATTGTCCCCTGGTTGGACTCTCCCCACTGCCCCCTCTCCCTGATCCGTTCTGGTCTGTTGGGTGGCTTCTCTCTTCCCAAACCAGTAAGAGGGCCGCGCTCCACCCTTCACAGCCCCGTGGACGGGGCAAGCAGCGCAGGGCAGCTGGGTGGTGAGGACTGTGCCAAGCCCTTTGGACTTTTCCAGGTTGTCCCCATCTCCTGCAGGATCTCGTTGGGATAATCAGCAGCAGGCTGGGCGCCTTCAGTGGCTTTGCTTTTCTGAGTCCTCAGGGCATTGGAAAAATAAAACCAGATTTTTATGAGAGAAAACTTTGAGACAATGAGTTGTCATAAAGCTTTAGAACAGTGAGTAGAGAAGAGATGGGGGGCTCTGAAGCAAGCCCCCAGGTCCATCAGAAGGACTCCACCCGAGGGACCTCCTGAAGGAGCCTCCGGCCTGCCCCGGCCACCCTCTGTTCCTGAATAGCGCTGCTTCTGATCTTCCTCCACCCTTGGGCCATTTTGGGGGAAGAGGAGGATCAAGGGCTTCATTCCCTGGAGGGGACAAGGCTGGGTCCTCGCAGGGTGCAAGGAACAGACTTCTCCGTGTCCTTGGTGTTCAGGGTGGCTGAGTGCCCTCACGTCTCTTGTCCTTGTGACATGTGGCTGCCTCTGCTGCTGCCACCCGTGCAGTCACCCCTCTGGTCTGTATGTGGGACCCTTCTCTGTGTGAGGGTGGTCGTGTCTTCTCCTCTCGGGAGCTACCTGTTCCCCGTTCCCGCGGCAGTGAGCCTCTGGCATACAGCAGGTGCTCAGCGGGTTGGGAGCGTGGCGTAGAGCAGGAAGTTGAAAGCCCTGAAGCTCCTCTAAAATAGTGGGGACACAAAAGGGCGGATTCTTTCAAGTTACAGGTTGTGATCCACGAGTGAATTGTAATGTCAAATTAGTGGGTTGAGACCATCAATTTCTAAATGGAGCAGAATAGAAAATGCCAGGGTACATCACACGGAGCATAATAATTACTATTTTGTGCCTTTTAATTTCAGTTTTACTATGTGCATTCACAGGTATGTATTCTGGGTCATGATGAAAAATTGTACTCCTTATTATGGGTCATGGAGGAAAAGTATCAAAGGGTACTCCTACACGTTGTGTCACAGAGATGTGGGGGTCTGTTCTTGGCCAGCCAAGCCACCTGTCCTCCCTGGCCCATGCTCCCAACCACTCATGCAGTCTTCCTCTCACCCCTGTCCCCCGCCCCCGCATAGCCTGTGTTCTCTGTCTGGAAGTCCTTCCTCATGTCTTACCATTCCCTCTACCTTTGGCCAAATCCTCTTGGTCTGAAGGTCTGGGGCTGTTCAATTAAACAGGAAATGGAGCAGGTCAGGGGGCTTCTTACCTCTTGCAGCTGGCGCCCTGACACACACCCAGCAGCAGATGCCTCCCATGGGAATGAGCAGCTTCCTGGGATCTTGGAGACTGGGCTGTCAGGACATGGCTATTTGCTTTGGACATTTTGGGGGGAGAGTATTGAACTCAGGGGCACTTGACCACTGAGCCACACCCCAGCCCTTTTTTATGTTTTATTTAGAGACACAGAGTCTCTCTGAGTTGCTTAGGGCCTTGCTAAGTTGCTGAGGCTGGCTTTGAACTTGTGATCCTTCTGCCTCAGGTTCCTGAGCTGCTGGGATTAGAGACATGGGCCACTGCACCTGGCTGGTTTGGACATTCTTAAGAGGGAGAAAAGGGTTTGTAGCTTAGCAGGTTTGTAGTGTAGTGCAGACAATAGCCACTTACAAGTTTCTGCAATGTGGATTATTCTTTTACTTTCCAAACCAGAAGGATGCAATCATTCCACAKGTTTGGTTTCAGGACCCCCAAAGTTACCAACATTTGCAGATACTCAACTTCCTTATATAAAATGCAAGTATTTACATATAACCTAAGCATACCCTCTGGTGCACTTCAAATACTCTCTGGAGCACATACAACGTAAGTGCTATATATGTGGTTCTCCTACTGCGCTGTCTAGGGAATAATGACAAGGAAAATAGCTGTACCTGTCAGTATCGATGCAATTTTTCTCTGAATATTTTCCATCTCTGGTTGGCTCAATCTTGGATGCAGAACACGGAGACTGAGAGCCAACTATATATGGAAGGTTTTAAGTATTTATGAACAAGACTACACGGTGAAAGGCAATCTCTGTCCAAGTAGGGGTATAAAGGCCAAAGAGTGACAGATCCTGACATCAGGGTGCTTGCAGCATTACTGTGAGCAATACGAGGCTACCAGAGAGGACCTGGTCATAGCTGCAGGGAGGCAAGACGTGCCATGGCCTGCCAGAGAGAGGATGCCCCTGCCAGGGGTTGGCTGACTATGTGACCATGTGGGAGGCAGCTCCCCAGAGCATGAGGGAGGGTCTCAGAGGAGGTGAGGCATTTAGTCTATGAGTGATGACATGGGGTCATCATGGGTCACCCATCCTGTGAAGACTGGGAAATCAGCCTTTTCACCACACTAGCTGACACATAGACTTCAAGGTGGGCACAGGAGAGTCATTAGTTCTCCCCACTTGCTCATAAGTACTTGCTGCTACATAGCAATTCAGTCCTGGAACAAGTGGGAGTGAAGAGAAAATCACATATTAGGGAGACTTCATTTTGCTAAGCAGGAGACTATTTCGACTAAATGAGAATTTTACTTTCCATAACCCTTGATACTCTGTTTTTCTTTCCTCTATGCACGCTCCCTGTTCCAGAGAGAGCAAAAGAGCATAGGAAAACAAGTTCTAGTTAAGAATTTAATAACCAGAGCTGGGCACAGTGGCACCCCGTCTAATCCCAGTGGCTCAGGAGGCTCAGGCAGGAGGATCGCGAATTCAAAGTCAGCCTCAGCCACTTATCCAGGTCCTCAGCAACGCATTGAGAGCCTGTCTCTAAATAAAAAATAAAATGGGCCGGGATGTGACTCAATAGTTAAATGCYCCTGGTTCAATCCCTGGTACAAAAAAAACAATCACTGGAGCAACAGCACATAAAGAAAGAGC